TAAAATTATCAAATGTAAATATCACACAAATAAATCAATTATGGTAACCTCTAAATTGTCAATATCAAGAATAAATTAATTATGGTAAATTGTATCTTAAAAAAAAATATAAATCTTCAGTGTCCTCAAATTTTACATAATATTTCACTTTATCCACGGCATATAAACTTTCAAATATCTGCTCGTCTATTCCTATCCTTTCAAATTTGCCAACTAGAAATATTTTTCAAAGCTTTACACGTTGGGGGCCATTTTGTTATGCTATTTAAATTGTATTCTATTGCTTATTTAGAAAAGATCCTGTCTATATTTATTAAATGATCTAATCTCCAATTAATCACAGTAAATCAGCATTAATTAATTACAATCTCAGGCTATTTAACTTGTACTATTTACCTTTGATCGTGGATTCAAAATATTTTCCAATTGGCTTCCTAATTGGGATAGGTAATATGACCTGAATAAAATACACAGAATTTCAACTGAAGTATATGTGAGATGTCCTTTATTTTATAGAAATTTTATATAACAATCAATCCGGTAATATTTGCAATACAATACTTTAAATATATGAGAAGTTGTTTTCTATCATGGACCCAAATGTTATTTTACATTGATTTTTAATATGTGTTATAACTAAGCTCTCTTTATAATTTTTTTTTTTTAAATGATCGCAAAATTAACTGTCTCTATTATTTATTCAATTTATTTAATTTATAAATGAAAACCACACTCCTGCTCTAATGAAAATTGACTGACCTTTCGTTATCTGCCGTTGCAATTCTATGGCCACGCCATAAAAAAAAACCTTTCTCTGCTTCTGCTCCTATTTTGGTCCAGAAGACGTACACCTTTCTCCTATCTGTCCTTGTATCTGCAACCCAACAACTCGTGTAATTCTATGCAGCCGCCTTTTGAACCAATCTCCGCGCCTGTTTATAACTTCAAATGTTTCCGGCTTCGTCTGATATTAATATTCTTATAACCTTTTGGTTTTTCTATCTCTCTGTACCCCGTTCCTCACACTGATCAGCTTTTGCACAGCAAATAAACACACCCGGTAAATTACGTCTTCGGGACTTCAAACAAACACAAACCACAAAGCTCCTTCCTTCTTGGGCGACGAAAACTGACTGACCTTTCCTCTCTCCTATCTCATAGCCAAAACCACTCCCTCCTTGCATTCAAAAATTGACCAATAAAAATCTTCTACCTCTGTGACGTATATCGTTATCAACCAACTCTCTCTATTAAAACGTCATTCGGGTAATTCCAGAAAACAACATTCTTTAATTATTCTAACTAAATCTATCTGCTTTACAAATATTTCTTACTAATAGCTACAAACGATACCTGTTTCTCAATTCAATGTCTTTTGTTAATAAACTTTTACCGATATAATCTTTCGGGGGGAAAAACCACCGCACATCCCGGTCTATTGTTTAAACACTTTCTATATACACTTTTATTACGGGTAAATCCATTTCACAATAACCGACTTATTTAAATTTCTTATCGATAATATTTGAAAGTCTTGTCTCTGAGGCCTAATGAACAATTCTTTGAACAACTTAAAATACATATTTTGTCTTATACAGGATGTTTGAAAATTTATATGCCCGTGTCATTATGAAATATCAATAATTTTAATTTTTATTTAAGTAATAAAATTTGTATATCGGTTTTTTATTGCTAACAGACATTCAAAAGTACAACAATATATATATATATATATATATATATATATATATATATATATATATATATATATATATTCTTATTTCTATCAAAGATATTAAACCTGGCAGCAACGGATAACATACCGTGCAATCTTCTTTAAACAAACAAAAATTATAGCAATTTTTAAACCAGGAAAACCAACAAACAAGCCAGAGAGTTACCGTCCATCGCCTTACCTAGCTAAGCTCCGTGAAAGACTGATGCTTTAAAAAATTGGCCCAAAGATACTTTAAAAATCCCAATTGGACAAAGATTCAGACCGCAAAAAAGCATGGCAACCAAAAGCTTTCTTTAACTGCTAAAATAGAGGCAGGTTACCAAAGAAAGTTGAAGACCTTTGTGGTATTTAGTGACCTAACGATTGCATATATCGCGTTGAAAACTGGTCTTATCTATTAGTTCTTCAAAATATTCCACCGCAAGGCAACTCTAAATATTAAGTCTCGTATTATTAGCAATTTATTATTTTTAGCAACTACATTATGAACAGTAGAAACTTTCGTGTAACCACGGAAAATACAATAAGCAAATAGAGAACACGAAAAAATGGGTTCTTCCCCCCATTAGATCTATATGACTGGGCACTTCCACTTGCAACATGAAAAACTCTTCCATTCAAAACTCCAAGCATATCCCAATGGATGATCTTAAAATACTGGTTAAAACCTTTCAACGATAGAGACAAATCTAATCTCAATAAAACAGAATTTAACCATTTTCACTCATAACTAAAGGCGTACATTGACAACTAACTGCTAACGCATAATTTTAACTCCAAATACCGGAGCGCCGTCCGGCTAGAACACTCTTCTTTAAAAAACACCTTTCTTGTTTAAGAAATAACAGTAAAGCTAAGAACCTGCAACAATATCTCACAGAATATTTGCAGAACAACATGAGGATTATCAGTAGATATATTACGGTGCTTAGCTCTTGGACTTGTGTACTCCACGGCTGAATATTGTGCTATTATATGGTTAAATTGTGCTCACACAAAATTATAGATATCCAGCTTAGTAACAGATCACATAAAAATACTACGTGGAGTTAGACAGGGATGTATCCTATCGCTGTTAATATTTAATATGTACTCAAAGAAAATTTTTAACAAGGCTCTTTACGTAATAGACAAAGGCATCTTTCTAAATGGTGAAAGAGTAAACAATGTTAGATATGCCGACGACACCATGGTCATAGCATATAGTTTAAAGGGACTTCAGAGGCTAATGGACAGAATAAACGAGTACAGTCAACAGTACGGACTAAACATTAATACCCACAAAACGAAACAAATGATTATCAGCAAGAAGAATATAAACGGGGCTCATCTATACATTAATGGGACGCAGATAGAGCGAGTAAAACAGTATTGCTACCTGGGAACTATTATAAACGAACAGTGGAGCAATGTACAGGAAATAAAATGCCGCATAGGAAAGGCAAGAACGGTCTTTAACAAAATGAGCGCCATCTTCAAAAGTCACAACATATCCCTTGATACAAAAATGAGACATTTGAGATGCTATGTTTTCTCTGTGTTGTTGTACGGGGCGGAGGCATGGACGCTTACAGACAACACTATTTAAAAACTTGAAGCATTTGAGATACTGCTTTATAGAAGAATGCTGAGAATATCATGGACAGCAAGGATCACGAACAAGAAAGTTCTAGGAAAAATGAAGAAGGAACCAGAGATTGTGTTTACGATCAAACGCATAAAACTGCAATATCTGGGACACATTATGAGAAATCAGCACCGTTACTCCCTGCTACAGTTTACATTGCAAGGTAAAGTCAAAGGTAAGCGAGAACCCGGTAGAAGGAGAATATCATGGCTGCGGAATTCAAGAACATGGTTTAAGAAAACCTCAACGGAGCTATTTCGAGCCGCAGCGAGCAAGGTTATGATTGCCAATATGATTTCCAACATCCGAAACGGATAGGAACCAGAAGAAGAAGAACAGAATCGCTGCTGCAGCAGTTTATACTAACAGAATACTAGAACACACAAATTAACCTATATATCTTGGAGTAACTCTGGACCGGTCCCTCACCTACAGACCACATTGCATAAAAACGAGAGGGAAAGTATCAACTAGGAACAGCATACTCAGAAAGCTAACGGGAAGTAAATGGGGCGCCCGTCCTGGCGTTTCAAGAACCCTCAACACGCAAAGGCGTTGCAGAGTATACAGAGAAAATTAAACAGATGGCGGACGAGCGGCATGCCCTATACAAAGCTCAACACCACGAAAGCGACTAAAATCTAGAAAAAGCTTCCTTAAAACAGTGCGGGATGAACCGCCAGTATTACCGGCCAGTCCCTAGACTTTACAATGTGGAAAACTATGAATAGGATAAGAACGGGGGTCGCTACAGTAAAATCAAACATGACAAAATGGGGAACAATAGGCCAAGATAATGTAAACTGTGATTATGGAGAAACACAAAACATAAAAAAACATCTTCTTTCATGCAGAAACTGTCCTCATCGATATACCCTTGAAGATGTGTGGCTCGCCAACAAAGATGGAACCGACGTAGCCCGATACTGGGCCGAAATTTTATAAATGACATGTCCGGACACGATAAAGTAAAGTAAGTAGAATCGCTGCCACTGCTGAGCCACATATCCCCTTCTCATCTTCGTCGCCCACATACTTGGCATAGACAGTTTCAACAAATACTTATCAGTCTTCATTTACCCAAAACAATATCAAAATGATCAGGGGAAGAACAAGCAGAGTGATATACCAAACCCATTAAGAACAATACCATGCATCAGAGAAGCTATATCAGGTTTTGACGTCCCTGAAAATCGCGATCAATTTCCAACATAATAAAAATGGGACTCAAAGCTTGCACTGCCTGCCTTCACAGATGAAAGATGAGAATCTATCGTGAATACGACTGTGGTGCCGAGACACAGACCATCCAGCATATGGTTTCCGAATGCTCTTTAAGGAAATAGATAAAAGAATAGAATAGAATAGAAATAGAAAAAGATTTAGATGTTGAAATGTAATATGTTGTATATTAAATTGCCATACGCTCAATATACTACCAAAGTAACCTATCAAAGCATCTAGAGAAACGTAGAATATATATATATATATATATATATATATATTATATATATATATATATTTATAAATATACCGGATATATTGAAAAAATCAGTGGTAAATCATTATGAATTGTAAAGTATTAAATATTTGACAAGCCATAATTAAATGCTACTAAATAATATTTATATTTACCAGAAGTTAACAAAATAGTCTGATCCACTAGACAAGAACTGAGTAAACACAAACAACATGAGCACCCAAAATCCATAGAACCAACCACCTGCATACTTTAAGTACCCAGAATACGCTTTAGATGTTAATTTTATGATAACAGCTTCCTCAGTAATCTCCGTGGGTTTCTCATCGGACATATTTTCAAAATATTCTATTTCTGATGATTCTTCATCTATCGTATCGCTTTCCTCTTCTTCAACGTTGTTAACGAGTAGTCGAGCAAAGTCGGTATTGGATTCAGATATTTCCTTAAATGTTCCACTTACGACAATTTTTCCACGCTCCAGTAGATATATTTTGTGGACGTTTTTTAAATATTGCAGTTGATGAGTAACTAGAACAGTGCATTTTCCTCGTAAATAACTACAAATACAGTCTTCAAATATTTGTTTTCCTGAAATCACAGATTTATAATATTATTAAACAGAAAAGTTAAAAAATTATTTAACAAGTATCTTAAATAACCTTAAAATATGTTTTCTTACCTACATGAGTATCGACGGCTGAAAGCGGATCATCTAATATATAAATATCTGCATCCTTATAGACAGCCCTTGCCAAATTGACTCTAGCTCTTTGGCCTCCACTAAGAGCAACTCCTCGATCGCCAACCATACTCCTATCTCCATGAGCTAATAGTGACAGATCCCTTTCCAAGGCACATACTTTGATAACTCGCTCGTACTTTTTAGGATCCCACGGTTCACCAAATAAAATATTTTGTTTGATGGTACTAGCAAACAACCATGGCTCTTGTGAAGCATAGGAGATTTTACCAACAGTATCTTTGTTGCCTTGACTAAGTGGTAGCTCTTTCATGATGGTTTGAAGAAGAGATGTTTTACCAGATCCAACTGCTCCTACTATAGCTACCAGTTGTTGAGGACCAACGTTAAAATTTATATTCATTAAAGTGTTTTCTTCTTGTGTATTTATCCACTTTGCTGAGACGTTTTCTAAATACACACCTACAGATTTCTTCTTTTTAGAACTATGTATAAGCGATGTACCAGATGTTATCTTCTTAGCTTTATAAGGTTCTCTTATAGGCTCATAATAAACCTCATCAAACTGAAGAAACTCTTCTATTCTAGCTATAGATACTAAAGCTTCCGCAGTCTGAGTTATGGCTTGAGGAAAGTCATTACTGACTGCTGATTTTAAAATATTATAAAACGAAGAGATGACGTAGACGTACCCAGCATTAAGTCTTTTTCCAGTGAAAGTATAGGTTATAATACATAAAAATACTGCTGCCCTTGTTATAAATTTGCTGAAAGACATATGAAGGGCTCGAATGTAAGAAGTGAGGCGAATTTGTTTTATTTCTGAACTAAAATAAACAATGGTATTAGTGCTATAGTGGTTACTGTATAAGGTGAAATTCAATACAATATTAAGTTATTGCGGTTATTCAATAGAAACACATTTAAAAACTGTAAGCTACTTTCTATTCTCCAAAGTCAAGAACATTCCAATCAGTATTTCTCTGACTCTAAATTTAACCAACTTTCTGAGACTTTCATTTCATATATATAAGTTGATCTTCAACTCTAAGAGGTGCCGCCTTTTTTTGTAGATTGTATTATGTTTAAAGCTGCTCTAAACAGCCGTGAGATTGCGCAGCCATGACATTCGTCGCCGTTCAACGTCACGCTTTGCTAAAAACTTTCCATGTGTGATGTTCTGCAGAAGCTGATCACGATGCCAAGGTATTGTAGTATTCGTATCTTTATTTTATTATTTGGTCCTGTTTCTTTTGAAAGTCTTCTCAAGACTGTCGTGACTGTCTACTTAAGATATTCTCAAGGTTCTTCTGTAAAGTCACTTTTCGAAAACTTACACTTTTTTATCATCGGTTTAGTCAGAGTGACTAAATTTATACCGTGTAGGAAGATACTAAATACGTAATATCTAAGCATGCACATTTTTATGCCAACATTCAGTTCTATTCCAAAAAAATTGTTTGATTTTCATTAATGAGTTACGTGCAATTTTAATTCTGCTTATTAGTTTATTTGAAAACTCAATATTTTCAGATAGTAGACGTCCAAGATATGTATATTTATATATACGTCTGATATTTTTACCAACAATAATAAGTTGGATATTATTATTAGGTCTCTTTCTAAAAATTATAAACTTGGTTTTTTCCAAATTCATTAAGTTAACATTATAGAGTTAACTTTCCTGTAAACTTTTGGGACATGCTCTGCTAATCTTTAATATTATCTACCATTAATATAGTGTAATCTGAATACCTTAAGTTATTAATAGGGGTCACGTTTACTACAACGCCAGCGGTTTTGTTCCATACTCTTGCATAATAACTTTCGAGTACAGTTAAATAGCAATGGAGGGAGAATACAACCTTGACCCCATCTTTGATATTCTTTGATTGTGTGTTATCCATTTTTATGTGTACTGTCTGACTATCATACAAGTTTTCTATTTTTCTTAAATGTTGATGTATTTTTTGTTTTTTGTTTTTTGTTTTTTATGTTTTGTTTTAAAATTTTCATAGGTGATCGTGCCTTATTTTGTCAAACGCCCTCTTATAATTTATAAAGCAGGCATATATACCTTAATTCACGTCTAAACAATGTTGCGTAAATACATTTAAACAGAATAAAGCCTTCCTAGTTCCCACTCCATTGCGAAATCCGACCTGTGTTTTCTTTTTGCTAGGATATAAATTTTGTAAATACGGTTATGTATAATTTTTGAAAATAATTTCAGTGTATGGCTCATTAAATTTATTGTTATATGATCTTTACCTACTTTAGCGTTGTTTCTCTTAGATATTGCAATGAAAGTAGAAGTCCGCCAATATTCCGTTATTTCTCTTCTTTCATAGACCGTATTAATAATATATATATATAATATATATATATATATATATATATATATATATATTATATATATATATGTATATATATATATATTTATATATATGTATATATATGTATATATATATGTATATATATATATGTATATATATATATATATATATATTATATATATATATATATATATATATATATATATATATATAAACCTAAGACAACAGAATTAAACCTGATTCCAGAACAGACTAAGACCCACTAAGGGTTGTAAAGCCAATGATGATAAAATGAAGACAATATATATATATATATATATATATAGTATTATTACGTATTTAGTATTAGTTTCTTATTTCGTCTCAGCTGCCCATATTCTTGCCCTACTCGTCTCGTTTTCGTCCTTGAAACCATGTGTATGCTGGGTTTTTTCTTTGCTTATGCGCATTTCTCATCATACCAGTCCGACCTTATTTTTCTGCTCTTTTGTTTTCGAATCATTTCAGTTGCTACCTATTTCAATATGGTTTTACACCTTCTTCAATAGGTGTTAACATATTGATCTATATTACCTGTATAGTCTTCTAGCTTACTTTCCAGACAATCCTCAAATGTCTTCGTCTTTGTTTAAGAGGCGTTTTGACTGAACCAGAATCCTTTTCGTTTTTCATATTCTCAAGTGCATAGACCATTGATCTATAGTATAGTAGGTTCTCTGTCTAGTTCTTCTAATATTGTTGGACAAGTCTTTTATATTTTATATATTCCTTATATATTCATATTTTTGTTTCCTTGTCTGCTGCTATTTGCCCATTGCTGTCAATTAGTTTATATTCATTGTTGAGTCTGCAATTTCTGCTGATTTCTCTAATCTTCTTATGTATGCTTAATTATTCGTTTAATTCTTGTAAATTTTCTATTTCGTAGAATTTCTCATTCAAACAATTTTCCTTTGCTTTCCTTTTCTTTTGTATTTCTCTATATTTTCTGGCATATCTTGTTTTGTCTATAGTTCTATTGATCCTTCTGTACTCCATTAACTTTAGTATTCCATCATTCATCAAGTCTTTTTTCTGTTTTTGGTATTTTTTATTGAGTTTATCTTATATGGTTTGCATCCTGACCTTTCCTGTTATCAGTTGTAGCTGGCAGTAATTCTTGATTTAATCTTTTTTCGACATTAAATTTGATTTCCCTATTTCTTTGTATAAAGAAATCAATATTGTGTCTATTTTGGCTTCGTTTATATTGTTTAAGACTTAACCCGAATTCTGCAATAGCTGTATTGTGATCAGAAGCTACGTATTAGCAAATTCTATAACATTTTTGTATTTCCTTCCTATAATATTATATATATCTGGTTTCTTAAGATTTTGTCCTCTGTATTGTGACGCCACTTCCAGGTATATAATTTTGTTGGCGGATGCTTGTATAACGTGTCTGTTATTGTCGTTTCTTTTTTTTTAAATTGGACCAAACTTTCCTCTATTTCATTGCTCTCTTTTTTTCAATATTCTCCGGTCAAATATTTTCCAAACTATTAGTAAATCCTAAAGCAAAGATTATAGTAGTCATTTTATTATTGCTGTATAAATACAACTGTGGCTATATATTTTCATCAAAATGTCGATTGCCTGGTAATTGTTTACTACCAAAACCTTCTTGAAAATTTTCTTAGGATATTTCGTATTATCTTTAAAAGACCGGTTTTCGATTATAGATTTAATTTTTTACCTTAATAGTGCTTAAAAAATATAACCATATATTATTAAAAAATGACGAGATACAATTATTTTTAACATAAGCCATAATAGTATCTAAATAGATAAAATGCGTTTCCATAGAACAATCCTAATGAACATAAGAAATATCAGTACAATTAAAAATTATAAAAAAAATTTATGCATAAATTTGATTAACTCCATACATACTTTCTTATTTGCTCGATTAGTTTGGAAAAAGATCTTTCCCAAGTATACATCTTAATTACTTGTATCCCACAAATGATTTCACTCATGAGTAAAACCCTTTCATCTGTTTTGCCAGCTGTTTTCTGCCTGTATTGGGTTGTTAACTTCCCCATCACCACTAAAAATGTAAGAAAATCTTTAACATGTAACATATTAACGAAAGTCTACCGAAGTTTGGTATTAACTGTAACATATAACAAAAATCTTAAAAATAATTTTATTTTCAACATCAAAACGCTGACTAAAAATTTACAGCTAAATATATTAGAAACTTACTTAATATATGTGGTGAAATATAATAAATGTGGTGAAATTGAAACAAAAACACAAAAAGACCACTGAAGTAGCAAATGGGGAAGTATTCTATAAATACATGCATAAATTGGTGAAATGTACTATATTCGTGCGCTAGTGGGGTGCAAGGGGGTGCAATTGCACCCCTCTGTTCGGAAAGAAAGTGCATATTTGAAAAGTGTTCAAATAAGAAAAGTTATGCAACGCCAATCTGTACTTCTGCCACAGGGATGGTTGCACCCTTTCTCGGGGTTGGAAATTCTTTTTGCCCAAAATAATTACGGGAGTCGATAGAGGAATAAATTCTGAGCAAATTTTCTATTATAGTATTTTTCAGAAAGTCAATACTGTTTGAGCTATTTATGGCTGAAAACAGCAAATTTTCATTGAAACAGTCACGTTTTTAACGGGTTTTCATGAATAAAAATATACCATTAATAAAAAAGCATGCAAAATAAAAATAAAGCTTATAATATAAGAATGAGGTTCTTTTTTTAAAAAGATATAGATACAATATAAAGTGAGATATGCTCGTTGAGATATTTTTTTGGGAATATTTGGATCAATGTATTTAGTTTTAAATAATAATTAAAGAGTTAATTTTTCTGGGTAATGATATAAAAAGTTTTTTAAATACCATGATGGTGCTAATGAGCACTACAAAAGGTCGTTTGTATGTAAATTGACTAGGTTACAGCTCGTTAAAGGTGGACTCTTCGAATATTTTAAGATAAAAAAGGGCAGTATAATTAACCTAATATCCACCAAAACCAAAACTAATTGTAAGGTTTTCAAGTATGATATTTAATTGTATTAAAAAATTGTATCTATTAATTGGAATCGTAAAAATTTTAAGTAAAATTTGAGATTTTTTTTGTTTTAATAAAGAATAACTTGGGTAATGATTAATTACAAATAATTGCTCTAAATTCGTAATGGAATTTAAAAAAGTAGATTAAATTTTATTTAGATTGCATGAGGTCACTTTCTTCCTCTAACCTCTCTCACAATAATTTAAATTTAATATTAATTATTGTATCTGGACACTTAAAGTTTAAATGATTTAATATTTTATCTGTCACCTTTTTTATTTTATTAGTTGTTTTTTTTTTAAGTTTTAAGTTTTTAAAAGTTAAGTTTTTTAAGTAAATTAAAGTTTAAAATTTCTTTGCCTAATTTCTTAGTGGTAAAAATACCTTATTTTTTATTTTCCTAACTTCTTAACCTTTATCTAAAGGAAGTATGTTATCTTCAAAATGGTTATGAGCTATTCAAAATATTCATTATCATTTTTGAAATTATTGCGTCGAAAGAATTTTGTCACATAAACAAACAATGTAAACATCTCTTTGATGTGGACATCAAAGGGATGCTTATAATAGGTGGTATATCTATTTTAAATTAATTTTAAAAACTGATAATTCTTGTTGGAATGCAATAATATTGTTAGGTAGGTACCTAGGTATATATATTTTGAAAGGAATAATGCATCTGTTATCAGTCGTTTAATATCGATGTTAGTGTCAATAGCTAAGTTCCTAAAATTATATTGAATTACAGTGAAAGTAGATAGTGTGAATAAAATGTCCTAAAAACCATTATCAGCTGCAGACCTGCAAGATATTGCTAATAATTTATGGCTTTGAAAGTGACGCTCGGAAGAAAGTGAAGATAATGATGGTAATCAACAAGTAGTACTGAGTGATAATAAAAAAGAATGTGTAGCTAGATGTTCCTAGATTTCAGAATGTGTAATTTTTGAAACTAAGAATAGAATTATCTGGAAGAGTCAACCATAACCGACATGTACTACGTATGGACGTATGCGATCAATGTTAGCCCCTGGTCAAAGGGTAGATGATCCTGTTGAATCCTTTGGTTTGTTTGTGAACGAGTGAAGTGTACAAATAAATAAGCCAAAAAAGTCTTGAGGATAGAGAATTGGAAATATTAAGACTCTACAGAGCTATATCCCTTTAGGGGATATAGCTCTGTAGACCAAAGGAACCAAAAATTAGCAGCAATACGAGATGTGTGGAATCAAGTCAACCAAAATTATCAGAGATCATTTACTAGAAAAAATGCTCTTGCACATGAATTACTGAAAAATTCACTAACTCTTGTGGGTACAGTGAAAAATGTTGTTCACACACATTTGTTCCTCGAGAATTTCTACCAAACAAGAACCGTTTAGAGAAATCTTCAATTTTCGTATTCACTCCAAAAGCATCTCTTGTTCTTACGTTCTGAAAAAACAAAAAAGTGTCCTAGTCCTGTCTACCATGCATCACAATGCTTACTGTGCAGAAAATGTCGATAAAAAACCAGATACGATACTTAATTATAATAGTACAAAATGTGATGTCGATACACTAGACCAAATGGTTCATAAATATATGTGCAAAAGACGAACTAACCGTTGAAAACAATGAAACGAAAACAAAAATGAAGAGAACATTGTTTCTTATAACGACAGCAGAACAACTACTAGTGTTAAGCTACTAGCTTAAAATTTAAGAAGAAAATCAGGGGGACTATAATGGAAAACAAAACAGTGTGTTAAAAAATGCTTACACGAAGTTGAACCACACAATAGAAAGCAAAAACTTATAAAACTTTATGTTTTAATGAGGAAAAGTTGTCACATATTTCCAACAAAAAAGGACAGGAAATGTAGTAGAAATGTGTGTAACGATCACTGTATAATTAAAAAAGTTTTGTAAGCATTACAATAAAGAAATCTAAATGACTAATCTATGGTTTTTAAATTTTTATTGTTTTTTTAACCTAAAACTTAATGATAATTTAATTTGTCATATCAATTTGCTATTCTAGTTGGGAATAAGCTAATATTATGGCTTAGTCTCAACTAAAATAATAAATTGATATGCCAAAGTATTAATTTGTAAAAGTAAAATAATAATATTCTTCTGACTTATCCATCTTATTAATTTTGTAAAGATTGTTTTTGTCGGTACTTTATACATGAGCTGCTAATTACTACAGCTGCTAAGTTCACACAATAATAAATGGCAACACCGTAATCTTTTTTCTTATTACAGTAAAATCTCGATATAACGGACCTCTATTTAACGGACTTCGAATATAACGGAAAGACCACAAAATCCGGTCAAAAGTAAAAAAAAAAGAAAAACGTACTGTTACGATGTTATGATTATATATGCTTAACCCGTGCCGTACCACTGTATTTTACAAAGAATTTCAATAAATTTAGCATAAGAGGACACATTTCTAATAGTGATATGTATATATTTTTTTGCAGAAGAAATAAAGAAAGCATTTGTAAGAAAAACAGTATTTTATCATAAACATAATAATGTATGAGATAAACACACATGAGATATAAATTTACACATTTGTAGGAAAGAGACAGAAAGTGAGAACATCACATATTATTAGGGGATTCCCTGATGTAATAACGCTTAGGTTTCTATAATTGTATGGGTATTTACACGATGGCTAATTAAAAATTTTCGCTATCCTATCCTCTAAATATAGACAAACGGAAAAGAATCAATCTAACAATCAATCAAAAACAAGAGATTCTACAAAAGTTGGAGTCTGAAACGTCTGTGTCTCATATATGTGATCACTATGGCATAAAAAAGCAAACTGTTTCGAACATAAAAAAACAAAAGCAAAATAAATGAATTTGAATTACATTTCTCCAGGTAGAAATCGTTTGATTTCTATTTTTGTTATTAGATGGCATAGTTACGACCGTACATAGTTATTTTATAACTATTGTCTAAGACGGGAATAGATTTTCTTTCGATCCAGAGAGGCTATACCGCTCTGACGAGATCTAAAGAGGTCGAAATACGTAGGGGAACCTGGCCCAGAATGACATACTAAAATTACACATCCGGTGTATCTCTAACTTGGCAACATGGCTATGCGCTAAAAAGTTTTATACAAGAGCATCGCGTGGTGCATAATTGATGTTCCAACGGGCCTCGCGATCAGTTCAGTCGTTTACTTGTTAAAAGGTGGTTTGTGCTTTATTGAGTACCAAAATATTTTGGTAGGCGACGTATACTTCGCTATAAAACGTTTAAAATTTTAAAATTTTATATCTCTGTTAGTTCCAGGTATGTATTATTATTCATATTAACAGAAAAATCATGTTTGGAAGCTTTGTTTGTTTAAACAAAAAATTTATTGTAAAAAACGTGTTCTTGTTCACACTTGTTTAAAACGACATATTAAATACTCGGGTAATATGACATAGTATGTCATTTTGCCCATATAAATTTTAATAATAATATGATAGGTAGAATATTAATGCATGGTATTTTTCTTTTTTATTACGGTGGGACACTACGAAGGGAAAAGTACACGCCAGTCTTGGGATCCAGTACAAATGCAAAGAGCCATCCAGGCAGTCCAGTGTGGAGACATGGGCTGGTTAAAAGCATCGATAACTTTTAATGTGCCCCAAGCTCCTTTAAGAAGACGAGCATCAGACAAGAATAAACGTGTATCAGGTACTAATAAATGTCTTTGCCGGTACGAAACTACATTCTCTGTAGAATTAGAAAGAGACCTCGTAACACACATAAAACTCCTAGAATCAAGTTTGTTTGCATTATCTTGTGATGACGTTCGTTCTTTAGCCTACCAGTTAGCAGATCGAAATGGAATAGTACACCGATTTAACACAACCACTAAGATGGCTGGTTGGGATTGGTTATGAGGGTTTCGGTCTAGACACCCCGATATATCCCTTAGAAAACCCGAGTCCACGTCTGCAGCAAGAGCGCAATCATTCAACAGGCCGCAAATTGCCAATTTTTTTTAACT